GCATGTGTTACAAAATTAGTAAAAGAAAAACAAATTCTCATTTATAAGTCTCACAGGCTGCCAACATTTCTAGTATGAACTGAAAGGGATGGACTTCACTGAATTTGAACTCAAGGGTTTGTAAATAGATGGCATCTTTAGGGCTTGTCTTCACTACAGGGAGATCGACACTGCTGCAATCAATGCAGCAGGGGTCAATTTAGCGGGTCTAGTGAAGACCCGCTAAATCGATGGCGGAGCGCTCTCCGGCTGACCCCAGTATTCCAGCTGTCTGAGAAGAGTAAGGGAAGTCAATCGGAGAGCATCTCCCGTTGACACAGCACAGTGAAGACACCAGGGTAAGTCAACCTAAGCTACATCGACTCCAGATACATTTTTCACGTAGCTGGAGTAGCGTAACTTAGGTCCGATTTACTCCAGTAGTGAAGATAAGTCCTCAGTCTCAACTACTAGCGAAAATCTATTTATGGAGACTGACTTTGAGCTTACTTACACTGGGCAATATTACAACTTGCCCTTGCATGCCTGCTCAAGAAAGTGAAGGGGCTTATGGCTCAACCTATATTGCTACTCTTTGTACTGGAAGGAAAGCTGGCTTCCTCCCCTATGTGGCTGGGCAGAAAACAGCATGGAGCGGATGGAGCCTGGGTGTTGGCCTGCACAGCTGAGCTGGCCCAGGCAGAGAAGTAAGCTAGTGCTGGTCCAGAGCCAGTAATGCATTTTTGCCCTTTGGCGCAAGGGAGGAGCCAGCAGAACCATTGGTGACACGATTGTATTAATAATAAAATATACTTTGCTCAAACAACTTCTTGTGGTTTCAAGACAGAACATTATATGCAAGACGCATGGGTAAATTTGTGTAAGCTTTTGCTAAATGTCCAGGGGGCACATTCGCAGCTTGCATAGGAAGGCGTAGTTCTGTCTGCTTACCCCAGTGGTGCATTTGGCCGTAAACCACTTGGAGCCTTTTCAGTGTCATACTTCTGACTCTTCTGATGTTTTCTTATGTATCATTAGTATTGAGACTGTCTGGTCCCCCAAGTAATTATCCTTCCTGCTTGGGTTTGGACCAGGAATTGTCTCTGCAGTGTGTTGCCTCATTGATACAATGTAAAGAAAAAAAACCAAAATAGTAACTGGGAAAAAATGGAGGTGAAAGGAGAAGAGTGAGAATAAAAAACATACTGGGCAGGATCCTCACCTCGAGTAATTCAGTGTAGCATCTTGACTTCAGTGATGTTATATCAATTTACACCATCTGAGGATCTGGCCTTTCTTATTATTAAAACATGTTGAGGATTCCCCGACCACCCCATGCTAAGAAAAGCAGCTGGTGAAAGTTATGTTTATGCACTACAGATGGATCAGCAACTGCAGCCATATAGCTCTATGTATCTGGTAAACAGGTGTTTGACTTTGTATTTGCCAACTAGCCAGCAGAAGCAAATTATTTTTGTAGAATATAGGGGAAGGATGTCACTGAAGTTTTTGAAAAGGAAGATACAATTATTATTGGCTCCATTTTTTTTTGAGAGAGAGAGAAGTATATCTTGCACCAATCCTCCTTTATAACAGATCAGGGCATTGAAAAAGTATGCAGAGGGGAAAAGCACTATAAAATGTTCTCAAAAAAGGATTATATTCAAATTACATATTTGCATGTTTTCAGTGGAAGCAGCAAGCAGTGGATGTGTTTTCAGAGCAACGGTGTGTTCCATATAAGGAAGAGGAAATTGCCTAAATTCTGGAGAAACACCTTTCTAAGGACTTCTGGAGATTCAACACAGAGCAGGAATGCTTGAAACCACAGTATCCCTCTCAGGTGTGAGAGCTGAAGCCAATCTATTCCTTAGGAATAGTAGTAGTGATTAATATAGTCCTCTTTCTGATTAACAAATATCTGCACACCAATCGTGATATCTGTGAATCTATTAATTATTTGTAGCTATCCAATCAATAGTTAGAACAATTAATTTACAACCTATTTATAAACTGTTCACGTTGACAGTACTGGTTTTATTTATGTTATGTTATTGCTCAAATAAGGGACATGGTATTTTTTTCTGCTCTCTGATTCAATGACAAACAATTTTAAACAGGAGAATGATTAATGATGAACTTTTGGATGAGTAATCATTCATGCTAACATTCATTAAACTCTCAGGATTTGTGAGCATTTTCACAAATACCCATCAGTGGTCTAAATATTCACTAATAACTAATATTAGGACCCTGTGAATCATGGCGATCCAAAATCAGCACTTTTATTTGCAAACTGGGTTATTATTTTAGTCTTTGACCAGCTCTAGGGACAGCTCTTTATTATAGAATGCAAAGAAGTATCATAAGGCAATGTAATAGGCTGTCAGTGTTTGCCTGAAAGACTCCACCCTGTTACCTGCGATTGATCCTGTTGGGAAAAGTTTAAGTGGACTCTGCTGACGTCTTGAGACAGATGGACAGACATAAGGGAGGTGGGAGTGTCTCTCTAGAGAGAGATGATCTAGCATGTGCTAGGAGCAGTCTAGAATGAGGAACCCAAGAGGAAACAAACCTTTGTTGTTGTTAATTTTTTTTAATGACACCAAACCTTTGGAAGGGGTGAGTTTGGAATCTACATACTGTGTTGGAAAAGGCTCCTGCTCATGTGTGTTGTTAGCAAAGGATTTTTTTAACTACCCCTTTCTGTTGTGGATGGGATAAATGATGGAAGAGCAATAATAGCAACAACCGCAGGTTGAATTGGAATTTGTGGGGAGCAGCAAGCCCAGGCTGTAACCCCACAGAAGGAGCATGGACAGTCCCAGGAGCAGATGTGTTAATCCATGGACACAGCCCAAGATGGGACCAGAAGATGACTCCAAGGGCTACCTGCTCAACTTTGATCAGGTAGTTGCTGCTGCTCAGAAGGAAGTGTGGGTCCCTTTTTTTAAAATGAGGTCCAAGCTGCATGTTAGTCCCTGAGCAAGGATCCTGTTGCTGACTACGAGGCTGTCAAAGCTGCCATCCTGGACTGGTTGGGAATCCCAGAAGAGAAGTACTGGCAAAAACTCATGGAGAAATTTAATTACCCAGACATCTGTGGGGTAACAAATATAGCTGGATATGCATCACCACATAGATTCCTAAATTACATAGAAGAAAACCTTATGATCCAGAATGTAGAGACTCCAAAGAAGAAGCCATCCTAGATCTACATGAGCATATTAATGAAATTTGTAGGTGCCTGTACAAGGGCTGTACCACAGTATTGACATTGCCACAATGATTCCTGTGTTTAGAATGTACCATATACCACAGCAAAATATTTGTTTTTACCTCATCACAGTGAATGATATTCAGATGGGACTCCCATCCCTGGACCTGTTTGCACCATCCACAAATGCCAAACTCCTGAGTTTTTGCAGCCATCAAAATGATACATGCAAATATCAGTGAGGACAGAGCTATATTAAAAGGGACATGAAGAGATTAGAAAAATGGGCAGAAAACTACAAAATGAGAATTGGGTTGGAAAAAATGCAAACAAATACCTTTGGGGAAAAAAATCATTTGAAACAGATATTGAATAGGAAGGAGAGTCCTGGAAAGCAGAAATGTTGAAAGGATAACAATGATCAGCAAATTAGGTGTGAGTTTGCAATGAGACATAGCAAAAAAGGGCGTATACAATTGTGGATTGCAAACAAAGAAATAGCTCATCATGAAGTAACGTGGTAACTGTCCCTTCTGCTTGAAATTGGCAATGGAAACATTTTCCCTGAATATCAGGAGAATCTTCTGGTGGTGAGACCTATTAGTTTGTGGGGGAAATCCCCCAAAGAAAATGGTGGAAGCCCTGTTTGTCAACATAACTCAACATTTTTTACACAGAGAAAATGTTTCAATTTCAGATTTTTGTTGTAAAAACAAAAAATATCATGTACAATTTAGAAAAAAAAACACAATCATTTTTCAAATTTTCTTCTTAAAAATTACTAGCATTTTATGACCTGAGTGATTGCTCTTCTGAATCCTTGATATTCCCCAAGAAATGTACACCAAAGTCTCATTGTCAGCACTTTCTGAATCCTGGCTTCATCTTTCAGTCCCAACAGAGGGAAAATGCCAGGTCACTCTTGTCACAGTTTACTTCTTTATATGTGGTGAACATATCTTCTCTGAAAATTCAATAAAAGGAAACAAAGGAGTTTTTTTTCTCCCTTGTTGAGTTTTAATTTGATGCATTCATTTCTCCATTACCATTATGTTCTAACACTTATTGTCCCAAATACTAGAAGACAGACATTCCATTTTATGAAGGATTTAGAGATTTCAAAATCTGGCTTTGCTCCAAATAGGAGTAGAACCTGAAAATGTTTAAATTCTATATGAAGAAAAATTCTGAAAAAAAATTACTTCCGGTTAATCAAAACAATTTATTTCAACAAAATTTTATTTCAATTTTGACTTTTTTATTTTTTGTTATTATAATAATGTAGAATATAATGCACAATTTAAAAATTTGAAACTGAAAAGTCATTTGAAAATGAAAAATCAAAATGCTTTATTAGAACATTTTTTTCTTTTTTCCCTAAGTGAAAGTCTAGTGAAATTTACCTCAATTTGTGAAGGCTTTTTGATTTTGAAGAAACTGCATAATCCAACAGAATATGGTTCTGTTAAAGTTTCTCTGACCAGCTCTACCTTTCACATCTTTTCCCCTCTTGTCACACAGATAACATGTTCATTTACTTCCTCATTGATATTATATGGCTCTACAATAACAAGGTATATTTTCTATTAATTTTTTCATTCATTTTATGAAAAATATGACATCTAAACTGTAAATATTGCCAGAATAGAACAAAACTCCTGCTTTGTAAGCACATCTGTCATCATCATCATGTTCCCATTACGCCTCTGGCGTTTAGGGCAGCAACGAAGCTCCTCCACTCCTGTCTGTTTCTGACAAGTCTTTCAATGGTTCCCCAGCCATGCCACAGGTTTTTCAGCTCAGCTTCCACAGCTCTTTGCCATGTTGTTTTCGGGTGGCCTCATTTTCGCTTGCCTTCAGATGTCCATCTTATTGCTACTCTGATGATGGAATCAGTTTCCATCCGAAGCACATGGCCAATCCATCTCCAGCGCCTCCTGGTAATGATAGTGCTCATATCCTCTTGGCTGCATTGTGTCAATAGATCTTGGTTTGAGATTGTTCTGGGCCAAAAGATATGGAGGATTTTTCTGAGGCAGGTTCTATGGAATTAAGACAGTTTGGACATGTCATACTTTCTCATTCCCCGGCATTCTACACTATAAAGTAATGGAGTAGGTTGTGAATATAGTGCAGCTATCTACGAAAGCTCTGTTCAGTTCAGTATTGTTCCAAGACTCCCATCAAATAAAGCCACCCAACTGCTCAAAGGCTTTCTCAGCATTTAATGTTAATAAAGTACATGGCTTCATATTTCCCTGTTTCTAAGTTTTGGGCCCTCTGCGACACCTATAGGCCTGCTTGAGGGCCCTGCTCCACTGAGTGAGCTCCAACCAGAGATACCTGAGGGGCCAGAAAATGTTTAGTTCTTCAATAAGCAAGAGCTCCCTTTAACATTTGAGTCCACAACATGGATACAAAAATAGTTAGCCCTGAGGAGACTACCATTTCAGATCAGGAATGGCCAGTGAATATAGTATGAACAAAGGGCACCTTCCCTCATGAGCAAAGAATCTGAGAGGGGGAGGAGGATTAATGTGACTCCTGCATGAAGGTTTTTTCAGAGAAGCAGAAAGGTAGGAAATTTACCTTTCTCTAAAGAGACCATCCCTGCAATATTCTCACATTTGGAGAGTAGGTAGCAGGCAGGATATCCCAATGGTAAATATATAATAACTGCATACATGATGGTCATGAGCAAAGGCCAAGTGCCCACGCCTGGCAAAAACAACAAGGAGTCTGGTGACACCTTAAAGACTAACAGATTTATTTGGGCATAAGCTTTCGTGAGTAAAAACCTCACTTCTTCGTTCATTTGTTCTTCTTCGAGTGCTGGTCCCTATCATTATTTAGTATGGATGTGCACTATGCGCCCAAGACAGGAAACTATTCAATAGCAGTAGAGAAGCACAGTAAGGAAAGTAACTGAAATACTTCCCTGATTGATTGTATTTTCTAAATGGACAACCTACCCTAATTCTCGATTACTGAGGGACAATCTTCACTCATTGATATATTTTCCTTTCCACAACCAAATCTCTATACAACTTTTCATGAGTGATGTACCCGAATACTTGGATACTAATATCTAAACTGTATTCTTAAATTTATTCACCTAAATTTGGGGTATTGCTGATTATGTACTATATGTATCATATGACTTTTAAAAACAAACTTTGTATTTGAAGTGTGATATCTGCCACACCTTCCACCCTCGTACTAGGCAATCTCAGGACTTCAGACTTCACAGGCATCTAATAGAGCTGTCCATGAGGCCCTTTTTAGATCTGGGACCCTCCCACTTTCCGTCTCATTGAGCTGAGCTTCTGGGTAGTGCCCCTGCAGCACCAACACTTTCAGAATCCTCCAGTAAACCCAAGGACTCCTTTAAACTCTTTTTATGAGAAGGGAAAGGAGAAACACCCTTATAAAAAGAGAGACAAATTGCTACATGAGTCCTCTAAGAAGAGGTCTGCCACTCCTCTCCTCTCCGCACCAGATGAGGCTCTTCACCCTGTAACAGGTGCATCTGGAGCTCACAGGGCCAGCACTGACAACACCAGGAGCGCTACAGAACTCAGAAACCATCCACAAAGGAGGTGGGATTGATCACCGCATCACAAAAGGATCGGAAGGAGCGTTCACCCTCTGCACAAGTGGTACCATACTGCACCAGGCCCACTGTGCTGAAGCCTGCACTGACAGATCAGCCTATACCAAAGACTCCAGCCAGCATTCCTCCCACTAGGTCTTGTTACGCTCTTCTTGAGGACCTGGTAATGTACACCAATCCTGAGTTGCCAATTCTCTCTGAACCAGTTCTAGCTAGAAACATCATCGCACCATCAGAATGCCATTCGTTAGTTCCAAGTCCTAGCTGCAACATGGATGCTCCAACATCACTGAGGTGCTGTTCACTAATGTGTGCCAGCAGCCATGCTGCTACAAAACAGAGTACCATTGGCTCAAACTCCTTTGACAAACAGGAGATAGTACCAGTGATTCCCCCAGCAGCCCAAACATGAGATATCAGCCTGAACAGGGCTTTCAGAGCCTCCTTGAGGCCTCTAAATCCCTGTGGCTTGTACTATGGGGCTAGGGATCAATGGTATCCCCCATGGGGCCTGGCTCCATGCCCTTATGAACCTACCCTCTGGCCATACTGGGGTCCATGGGATCCATACTTTCAGGTCCCAGGCTACAAGGACCATGGTCACTGCTTTCCAAAGAGATTGCCTCCAAGAGAGGAGCCTCAGCTCTCTCAGAGAACATGGCTGAGCAAGAACAGATGGTACTGCTCGATCTGCCAGCAGTGTCTTCTTCATCTCCAGAAGAGGTGGTAGCATCAACCTCTCTCTCTCCACTGGATGACTATAGACAATACCAGGACTACCTGAATGGGATCAGAGACACCATCCAGATGCCACTGGAAGAGATTCAGGACCCCAACCTTAAACTTCTGGGCATTCTCCATTTTACAGCACGTTCCAAGGTGACACCCCTCTATCAGTGAAGCCATGTTGGAGGTATTTGGCACATAGCAGCCACCTGTGCTCCAATTCTGATTTTGTGCCCTCCAAAGTAGAAGAATACTTGTTCTCCCACCCTAGCATAAACTATTTTGTGATCCAGGCAGTCACAGAGCATAACATGCTACCCCAGCCCAGGTTCATTCCCTTTTATGAGGATGCCAAAACATTAGATCTCTTCAGCAGAAAGAACATCTCATCAGCCATCCTTCTATTCTGTATTATGACCTACCAGGCACTCATATCAAAATATGACTTTATTCATTACAACAAGCTGTTGGAGTTTGCCAATAAACTACCACAGTAACACAGGCACCAATTCCAGGCCATCCTGGGTGAAGGTAAACTTCTTGCCAAATTGTTCCTCCAGGCATCACTTGATACAGCTGACAAGACTTCCTGCTCCATGTTTACCTGGGTGGTCATGAGGTGGGCCTCTTGACTGTAGGCACTGGGATTCCCCAAGGAGATCCAGGTGACAGTTGCAGATCTCCCTTTCAAGGGTAACAACCTGTTTAGTGAAAAGACTGATGAGTCACTTCATTCATTCAAGAATTTTCATGTCATCCTCTCCTGCTCGGGCATATGGACCCCAGCACCTTGTGGGAAATTTTCTAAACCGCTGCCTCAGAGGTACCAACCAGCCCCTCAGCCCTTCTGTCTTCAGAGGGCCTATGAGCCTCTGAGGAAATGCCAGAGGTGTAGGATGCCAGACACACTGCATCATCACCATCCCATTTTGAGTCCCAGCTGCCTACCAAGAAGGAATTTTGATGAGATGCTCAAGAGCTGGCAACTAGGCCACGTACAACCAGTCTCCCCAAACTCCCTTAGGGGCCACTTGGCCTGTTTTCTTCCAAAAACATATAACTTTGGACAAAAGCATTTAAATTTCAATTGGATACAGGATTATATTCCTGTCTATCCCTTCTCCAACCTCCACCTCCCCATCCCTCTTCAGGGACCCCACTAGCTACAGGATTTTCAAGCCAGAGGTGGACTCCTTATTCCAGTTACTGGCAATAGAGCCCATATCTCCTAAACACAGTAGGAGGGGCATTTACTCCAAATACTTCCAAATCCCCAAAAAGAATATGTGCTGGAGACCCATCCTGGACCTAAAACAGCTGAATGTCTTCATCCGCCATTCAAGATTCAGGATGACTACCAGAATACCTTCCTTGAATAAAGGTGACTGGTTTGATATGATTTGAAGAATGCCTGTTTCCATGCAGATATTCACCCAGTGCACAGGAGATTCCAGCATGGTATGATGGGCCAAGAGCACTTCCAATACAGAGTCTTCAGGCTATTGAACATTCCATCTGTCTTTACAAAGGTTTTGGCTGTGGTAGCAGCACACTTACGCCAACAAGGCAACTCAATATTTCTGTACCTAGATGACTGGTGCTCACAGGATGGCTCATACGAGGAGATAAAAGCAACAGTCACCTCCTTACTTGACATGTTTCATTCCTTGGAAATTCAGGTAAATCCAAGAGACTCCACTTTAATCCACAGAAGAGTTATAGCATTTCTTGGAGTGAATCTACATGGGATTGCAGGCAGGGCATACTTACCTCAGGACAGATTCCTCATGATGAGAGACTGCAGCATGACTCCACAGGGGATGCCTTCCTAGTACAGTGGTCAGACCATTAAGGTATGTCTTCTCTCCCATCCCCCTGCTACCGCACGTCCTTCATAAAATCAAGTAGGGCAAGGCAGCAGTAATCCTGATAGCACCATGGTGGCCAATGTAGTTCTAGTTCACTACAATCCTGCAGACAGCCTCTCACCCATGCATACATCTACAATTGTTCCTGGGCCTACTGTCACAGAATTGAGGCAGGACCAACCACCCCAACCTGGCATTCTTCTATCTGGTGGTCTGAGTTTTGCCTGGGCAATGGACTTAGAGAGGTCTTGCTCAGAGAAGGTTCAATCCATCTTTCCCAATAGCAGGAAACTGTAAAAGGAAGTGCTATACCACCGAGTGGAAGAGGTTCTCCCTGTGGTGTCAGCAGCATCCCTTACCTCTTGAAAAGTCCAAGATCTCTCTTATCCTGGAACATCTTTTCTCTTTGAAGTCATCATGCCTATCCATCCATTCACTGTGGATACATTTATCATCTATTAATGCCTTTCATCCTCCGGTGGAGAACTGCTTGGTTTTCAGCCATCTCACAACAGTAAAGTTCCTAAAAGGCATTGTCAGCACACTGCCACCTGTACTGAGACCAGCACCTGCCTGGGACCTGAACTCTGTGCTATCAGCACTGGTGAACCCACCATTTGAGCCCTTGACCTCTTGCTCCCTAAAGGGTATTCACACACCCTCTCTCCTCCGCCTCTGCTTTGGATCCTTAGACTAGGACTATTTGTGGTAGAGTAGGCACTGGAGAGGTGGTTGATCTGTGCTCCCTCATAAACCCAGTGCTTGGAAGCATGAGGAGGAAAAGGGCACAGGCACAGCCCAATGGACACTGCTATTGAGGAGTTTCTGGTCCTGGGTGGATGGAGCACATCCGCTCCCAGTGAATACCCACAGGGACCACACATCTCGAAGAACTCCAGTTATTATAAGGTACACCACGGCCTGTCAGATGTGACCCAAAACCAAACTATTTCAACAATGACCAACTGAATAGGGTGTATACCAAAGAAAGAGAACCTCCAGCAGGAAGGAGAATCTGCATTCCGTCTCAAGTGCATTCCTCTGACATGGAAGCTAACCATGGTAAGGATCACACTCCAGCTGAAGTGCATAGTGCATGCAGAGTGCAACCCATGTAGATACTATGGTTACAGCCTTGAGGCAAATTGTTTGGCTGCTGTGCCTGAAACTAAATGAGTCCTGACATTGATCCCTTGCTCTGTACTATGGAGGGTAAAATGTAATCAGACAGCCCTGGCCTAATAACATCAACATATTTAAAACATGAGTGTCAATAGGAACCAAAGCATCATTGTTCACCACATGTGGTATTTCCAGATACCTGCTCACATAGAACAAAGTAAGGAAATCCCCATGTGAATGAGCATGTGGACACAGGAGGAAAACTGTTTTGTTGATATGCTCCCAAACGCCACTTATGACCCCTGGAAGTGATCTTAGAAAATTCCTTCTATCATCTTATGCCAACAGTATAGGGTTAAGGTGAAATAAGAAACCAACCCTAAAATAGAACCATCTGATAAAGTGAATATTCTGCTGACAAAGAAATGGGCCTCTGAAAGAAACAGCTGGACTGGCAGTGCAGAGTTGTTAGGAATGGTTTTTCATTCAAAACTCCACAGAGACCCTAAGATACCATGGGCTCTCATGGAGGACTTTAAACAACATCATAACCAGAAATCAACAACAAAGGGCCTGCAGGGACACTGACCTGCCTTTGGTCCTTGATAGACCAAAAAAGTTGGAGATATTCCTGTCCTGTTTGGGGGAGGGGGGTTGCAGAGCCTGGGGAAAAATCTGGGGGTCGGTCCGACCCGGCCCTGGATGCTGTGCAGGGGAAGAGGAAGTCCCGTCCTCCTCAGCCCAGCTGGGACTAGCAGCTTAGCCTGGCTCAGGGTAGGAACCACAAGCCAGGTCTTCCCCAGTCCCGTCCCCTGCCCCACAGTGATTTACCTCTCTGCCGGCTGCCCTGGGCACCCAAAACATACTGCTGGGGAGGGTTTCATGACGGTTCTTGTGGCATCCCTTGGCTTCCCTGTCAGAAAATCATTTTTTTTTTTTTGCAGGGAAGGAAAGAAATCTGTGGGGGACATGAATTCTGTGCATGCGCAGTGGTGCAGAATTCCCCCAGGAGTAACCTGCTTGAAGGCTATGCTCCCAGAGTTAGATCTAGCCTGAAGATACTGTTTGCTGTTTCAGCTCAAAGTAAACTCCTTGCAATCTACTGCTTTGGATCCTTAAATTCCAAGCAAGGAAAAGCAGGACCAGAAATAAAAAACAATGGAGGAATGTGCCTCAGCCTAAATCAGTATCCTTGGCAGTCAACTCCCTTTGTTACACTCATGCAACCACGCTGAAATTACTGATGGCCGACATGGGCCTCAAGTGTTCAAGCTTCACAGTAGGTATAAAGGACAGTATGAGCTGTATCTCATGGCTCCCACTTTGGCTGAAAGAGCCAAAAACGCCTGGATTGGGCCAATCAGCAAGATTACTTACTCAAAGTATCCTGAAGTAAAAAAATATTCCTGTTGCCTGGCCCCTATATCACCAAAGACTGATTACAGTGAGCCACCAATGATTTTACTGCCATAATATGCAGAAAGCCATTTTAATAACACGTACCCCTGTGATCAGCTTGACAGTCTTATTTGGCGGGTGAATGTTTAATTAACTAGTTTGTAACAATAACAAAGATTGTTACGTCATTCCCCTCCCCATCACCTGGCCCGAGATGTTCAGCTGGAAACAGAATTTGTGTGATGGGTTTTTTCAATGGAAAGTGAAAACTACAAATGGACAATACTGAAAGGTCATGGATTTAACTTGGATACAATCTCCCAATCTTTGCACAATTTACTGTGAGCAATATTTTATGAGTTCTGTACAAAAATGAAAAACAGGTCGGATCCTCAGCTAGTGGAAATTGGCATCACTCCATTGATTTCACTGATTTACACCAGCTGAGGGTCTGTCTCACAATGCTTAAAAATAACCACATTAAATTATCTATGAAACAGCTGTTTACTAATCAGTTGCGTGGGTCCGGATTCTGTTTCCTTCACTCACATTGAATAGCATCTCACTCTGGAGTAGCCTCATTGACTTCATTGGGACTCTTTGTGGAGCAAAGTACTGCTCATTGTGGTTAAAAGGACTAGAATCTGACGCTTAGCATTCACCAAAGTCAGAACAGAAAATATATGTATTGGAGCAATGGAAATTCATTTGAACAATTTGTGGGGGCAGGGAGGGCTTTGATTTTGTTTTTGTGGGAGGTGGGGAGGTTTGGTTGGTTGGGGGCCCTTTGGTTAGATTGGATCGAGCTTCTCTCATGTTAATCCACCACAGGCTCCCGGCCGTTAAACCCAAACAAGCATAAAACAGATAGCACGAGAGGGAGGTGTTTGTAAATAACTCTGGAA